TTCTACCTGGCAAGTGGCAATGGCAGTTCTCTTTAATCCTGACTTTCACGGCATACGTAGCATGTAGTGTGTGTGCGTGTGCGTGTGCGTGCGCGTGCATGCCTAGAGAAGAAAGAATAGCCTAGCTTTAGAAAATTCTAAAAGGAATTACGGCCTTGAACACAGATGACGATGACGGGCTTTGAGAATGGGAGCCTGACACCGGCTGCTGCCACACAGCCGCGGGCAGCATGTGGCATGTTGGTGGCGTCGTCTCTACATCGGCTCATCTGCCGCCATCACAGCTCCCCTGAGTTTTGTCACACACCGGTGTCCTCGCTGGTCACCTCAGTCCTCATTCGGTGTGTATTCCCGAGGTCCAGACATGGTCCTAGACGGTGTGAGCAGCACAAAGGCGGCCTAATGCCTGTCTTCAGGTTGCTTCTAGTCCAGCAGAGGAGATTTCTATCCATTTTTTTTAAAAATTCATAGTATTTGGTAAGTATAAGTACCAAATAACCAAAATATAAGGCAGAATGTGGCTCGATGCCAGGAGAGAGAGACGTTTGGGCTCAGGAGCAACCGCCACACCACTCATTTTAGTAAAGAAATATATTTTTATACTTAAACATTGGAAAGCAGAGTTATTAGCAATAAGCCAGCCCGGCGGGCGTGCAGAGCCCTCTGCAAGAGCCGCGGGTGTGGCGCCTCCCTGCTGCCACCTGGTGGCCGCACAGCAGATTTGCCTTCAGAGAGGCAAATACTTGAAGGCAAAACAAATCCTGAAGTTGTTGTGAAAGTTTGTGACTCCAGCTTGCTGGCGTTCAGTGGCACCATGAGCTCTGCAGAGACTTTTAATGGTTGTGTTATAACACTAACACGTGCCGGCAGTTAGCACAAGGAGGGATGAAGTAGATAAAGTAGAAACTAAGGTGTCCTCTCCCAGCCCAGCCTGGCTGGCCAAAGGGAGCTGCCACCTTTGAGCAGGGACCTTACATGTCCTGGGCATTTGTGATTCTGCAGACAGTTTAATGAACTGTGAACAGAGAGACTCTCTTTGCCAGAGACGGTCTCACTGGGACCATGGCCCTCTTCTGGGAGGGCCCCGCCAGGCTGGGCGCCCCAGTGACCTCCAAGGACAGAGGGGGACAGCCTCGGACTCACAGGTCAGGGAGCTCCCTGTGGCCGCGTGCACCTGTCCAGGTGTGGTGACTCCCCTCTGTCCCACAGGTGATGCTGCTGGAGAATGTCATCCTTCTGCTGTTGGCCACAGACTTTGTCCAGGGGGCATCGTGGACCAGCCTGTGCACCATAGCGGGCGTCTTGTCTGGCTTCCTCATTGGTAAGACCCGGTGTTGCCTTCTTCTCCGTGTCGCTGTCCCCAGTGTATTTCGTCACTCAGGAAACTGAACTCAGACGGGTGGGCTGGAGATCGAGGGACGGAGCTCGGTGCGCGGTGGGTGGCGAGGCCGTCCCCACCAGGCACGAGCCACTGAGCTCTGCCGCGGCTGCCTTGCTCGGCTGTGCTCGGAACCTCAAGCTGGGCTGTCCCCTTCTACCCGAAATGTCTGGTGCGCGGGGGCGGGGCTCGCTCCCTGGAGCTCCCTGCAGGGTCGAGGACATGACTTCCCACTCCCGCGAGCCTCAGGGAGCTCCCGCATCTTCCTGTCACGGCACCCGCTCTACACGTCCACACGCACCTGGGCAGTGGGCCCTGTCATATCCCCAATTCAGAGTTGAGGACGGTGAGACACGGAGGAGGTTAAGTCTGCAAAAGACCAGATGGTTTGTAGGTGGCAGAGCTGGGATTCAAACCCAGCTCTGACGCGGGCATCAGCACGCGCCCGGCAGCTCGAGGTGACCGCCACGTGTTACGAGTGGGTGGCACCGAGGTCCGTGCTATGCCCACGGTGCTGGCCTTGCTTCCCGGGTCCGTGTGGGCTCAGCAGAGCCTTCCTCTCCTGCACTTGAGACATAAAAATAAAAGGCGCTGAAGCCAGCCGCTCTCCCAGCACGGCGGGGTCCACGCCACCTCCCTCCGCAGGCCTGTGCTGGGACCGTCCGGGCCAGCCCTGCACGTCTCATGCGATGCCCGACACCATTCCTACGAGGTGGCACACTCCTGGGAGCCGCCACGCTGGTTTCCCCCGCAGTTTCGCTCCAGCGCAGAGTTGTCACTCTCAGCATGACCCGCGGCTCGCAGGAGGGTGGTGATGGGGCGCCCTGGCAGCTGGGTGGGGGGCAGGCTAGAGCCAGCCTCTCCCGGTGCGCGCTGGCCCTCAGGTGGGCCTGGGGATCCTCAGCAGATCACACACCAATTATAGTCCAAGGACCTCCTGCCCTTATTGAGCACCAACTGCATGCCAGCCTGGGGCTACGACCAATAACCTGCAAAGGACAGGGCTCTGGGGACGTCTTTCCACCGAACACATGTGCCTGGGCGTCTGTGCTGGGAGCCTTGGTTCATCTTTCCTGGCCTGGGGCGGCTCGTTGTCAAAGAAGGGCGACACCAGGTCCCTCAGTGGGCAGTTGTGAGAATTCAAAACTGCAGAAGTTGTTTGAGCCGGGCCTGTTGCAGAGGCAGCACTGAACACACAGGAGTTCGGTCTCCGTTTGCTGGCTCGAGCCCAGCCAGGCGCCTTCCAGGCCTCGCCGCCCCCCCCCCGGCCCCCGACACCCGAGCGGAGCCGCGGAGGTCGTCCTTCTGGGTCCTTCCAGCACCGTCCCGCCGCGGTCTCCGGCCCCCGCAGACATTGTTTCAGGTTTTGTGCCGCTTAGAATGAGCACCCTGAAACCAGGCGCTTTCTCCAGTACAACAGGAAACTGGAAATAACGTGGGAGGCTTACTGGAATGCTCTGCTAAAGAAATCACTGCAGCAGTCAACACTCCTGATCAGAATACACGGACGACAATGTGATTAAGATGTTTATGCACAAAGGAAGTGGTGTTGTTGTTGTTCATGGAAATTCCTTGATACGGGGTTTTCGATGAGAACGATTAACCTCTGCGTGGGTCTTGCTTGTTTTCGAGGCCATTTCTTACCTCCTCCCCCACCCCGGCTTTGGAGCCCGTCAGCCAGCGTGGTGACGGTTGAACTCGGAGTGTTTGATTCAGCTGCTTGAAAGCAGAATTAACATTTCTACCACACATCCCACGCACACGCATGTGCACACGCACGCGTGCACACACGCATGGACACACGCACGCATGCACATGCACACTCACATGCAAACACATCTAGAGCGCCCGATTGGAGCTGCCCTCAAGGAAGAAGGTGTAGAACCAACGGGATCCAAGCTTCCTTATCACCTGTTTAAGTTTAGAAAGGTTTGCAGTTTATAGAAGCTGGAGCCTAATTAAATTCTCCCCAGATATCCAGTTCTGAGTGTCCAACAAGAGGCCTAATTTGGATCCCAAAGTATGTTGTTCTACTCAAAAGGCTCAGAGCCTGCAAGTCTGCAAACCACGGGGAGGACACAGGACGTCACAGAACATAACCTTGCGCTTTTTTCGTTCTCTCTCTCAGGCAGCGTGTCGCTGGTCGTCCATTACAGCCTGCTGCACCCAAAAGCCGCGGCCATCCGCCAGGGCCTCGTGCGGACATCCTGCGGCACTGCAGGGGGCGACACGGCAGAGAGAGAATCTTCTCCCCGGGCCGAGGCTCTGGCAGGGGGGAGAGCCGAGAGCTCGGTCTCGTGCCAAGGGGAAGGTTACGAGCCGACACCTCTGGGGACGCCCCCTGGCCCACAGCCGGGTGCTCTGGAGGCCGGGCCGGGGAGCCACGTTGCTGGGGAGGACTCTTTCCTCAGTCACCACCACTGGCTGTTGGTGAAACTTGCCCTAAAAACAGGAAACGTGTCCAAGATCAACGCAGCCTTTGGAGACGACAGTCCTGGCTGCTCCTGGGGGCTCGGTCAACACCACAGTGTGCAGAGGAAGCCCCTGTCTTCCCAGCAAGAGCCCCCATCCTCACCCCGTGACCGCCCAGCCTTAGAGAAAGGCTCTGAGTTTGAAGGTGTCCCTAAAGCAGACCCTGACCCTTTGGAAAGCTCAAGTTATGTCTCTTTTGCCAGCGATCTTCAGGACAAAGTGCCTCCAGAGTGGCCGTCAGCCGCCCGGGGAGAGGGCGGCCCGGAGGAGGGGGCCGGGGCTGTTCTTGCAGCGCAGGGGCGGGGAGCCGGGGGGCAGCCGAGGGCGGAGGAAGGGCAGGAGGGCTCCACGTTGTACTTCAGTGCCACTGCGGAAGGGGCCACGCCCCCACACCAAGAAGGCAGGCCAGCCACTCCGCAGAGGGCCCACTCTGGGAGGATATTGGGGAAGGGCAGCCCTGCCCCACCTGCCTGGCCTCGGCCGCTCACTAAGCCCTTTCCCGTCACCATGGCTGACATCAGCCCCATCCTAGGCCCCGGCCCATGCGGAGGCTCCGGCCCCAGTGCAGACCCCACTGGACGAGCCCTGGGTGGCTCAGAGCATAGGGAGAGTCAGGAGCCCACAGGGGACTTGAATCACCATGCCACTGTGGGCCCACGGATGTCACTGCCAAAGACGAGACCTGCCGATGAGCCCTGCCTCACGTCCACCCCGAAGTCTGAGTCCCTCCAGAGGGACTGCAGCTGCAGAGAGAAGACGAAACAGGACTCAAGTTTTTTCATCTGACTACGGTCACGTGGGATAAGAAGACAGGTTGGGACATCACGCTGACACTGGGTCTAGTGACAAGAGAAATCCCACCTGTGACACCTCTGCTCTCGGGCACATCCCTTTCCCCTCTCGGTCTCCACCTGCACACCTGCAAAATAAGGGAGCAGGACTGGACGATTTCTAAGGTTGCTGTAAACATCACAGGCCGCACACAAGCAGAGGAGAGACTCCAACACGGTGGGGGGGAGGAGAAAAGACTTCTGACAAAACCCCCTGCTTTTATGAACTGTAATGATCCCTATTTTATCTTTTTGCTGTGGCTTCTAGGAAACTCAAAGGTAAAACCCAGACTCCATTTTATCCTGGGTTCTTGTTACAATTAGCTTTCCCTGACACTAAGTGGATATTAATCTCTTTTTTAAAAAAAGGCATTCTAACTGAGTAATTTTATAAAATCTCATCGTCAGATAATGTGAACTCTTTCTGGAAGTGGCTGAGAACCGTGTACCTGTAATCCTCCACAGAACCGAAAACGCAGCGGCCGTTCTGAGAGCCCCTATCGTCAGCAGAGCCTACGGGTACTTTCCTGTCCCGTGTCCTTGCAGGCCACCAGCTCCCAATGCCGCCGTACGCCCCACTTTCTTCGTGTCCGAGCTCCACGCCCTCCTCCGTTCCATGTAAGGTACTGTCCGCGATTGAAGCTCCTCCGGTGAAGGGACGCGAACGTCCCATTGCCCTTGGACTCTGTTTCTTTCTAACCCTTCCTCTTAGAAGTGCTCTTGTGGGCAGGTACTTCTTTCTGCCTTCCTTCGTAGCTGGTTAAAGAAGTCCAGGCGCAACCTGCCAAAGAGAAAGGCTGGGTACCATTTGGGGGTGGATAGTTTTCATCCTCTCCAAACACCTCTGGGCCCAGGGACAACGTTAGAGCCCTAAAGAGGAGGCGCGGGGTAACTTGCTTGTGCCGGCGAGGGGTGCGTGCAAACGGCTTCCGTCGGCTTCCTCGCTGCCAGCCACGCGGGCCCATCAGAGATGGCACACGGGGCTGAGAACTGGAACAACAGGGAATATAAACTCAAAGAGAGTTTGTGAACAGAACAAAACCGTTCACGTTACGCTCACTATACCGTTACAGCATCTCGGTTTCTCCTCCACTCAGCGTCTCACCCCCAGGTGGGAACACGGGCCTCTTCCCCGAATCCTAACCAGCCTCGCCTCTCCACCTGTCGCTCGACACCCCACCGGAGCATCACCTCCTGGGCGCCTTCCCGAGGCTCCCCCTCGCCCTCTGCCCTGCTGTCCCCACTGTCCTTGGCCCTCTGGTGGCCTCTTCCTAAACCAGAAGCCCTGCTCCCCTGAAGGCTAATTCAGGGGTTCAGCCTTGACTCTGAGCCCTGTAGCTCCAAGGCCCAGCACAGTGTCTGCACAAAATCGGCACCAGGATGTCACAAGTGCAGCTGGAGGGCGTATCCTGGTAAGGAGGCATTTTGCCACGGGGGACAGAAACGGGTGGCAAATTGGGAATTTGCTCACTCTTGTCAAACTTGCCAGCCCTTGAACAGGCTAGAAAGCTAGACATCCTCTCCATTCACCGATTCGTTCAGTAAGGCATGCCGAGTGCAGCAGGCACTGAGCACACAAAAATCAAGGCACGTGTTTGCTGTTCGGGGCTCGGACCAACATGGGCCTCTCAAATGGCCTCTTGATTTCACGCCTCCAGAAAATGTATCGCCAGGCAGTGAAAAGAATCAGAAAATATATGTTATATTTGTTAAAGACTAATACATGGTCACAATTCAAAAATGCTCATTGAGAATCTACTGAAGGCTGGTCCCTCGGATCACAAAGCCGCACAGGAGGAAGCGTGGCATGTGGCACGTGCCCCGTGGGGGAAGCGAGGGATGGGATTGTCGTCAAGTCCCCTCCGAGATGGCTGCAGGACCCTGTGGCAGGTCAGCTCGATGTGCCGTCACCTCCCTGAGCAGCAGGGGTTGCGGGAGACACTGTCAGGCCCAGGACAGAGCGCTCACTGCCATGGGGTCCTGGTTGGCTGTGCTTGGTGAGGACTGCAGCCAACCCACAGTGACCAGCATGAGGAAGCCAAGAAAACAGACACCCTGTCCCCCTCCTACGAGTACAGCCATGGGCCAGACCTAACCGGAAGCCAAGGACGCGGAGTCTCCACGCGGTCTATAAAAATCAGCTCCCATAGCCCAGCGCGGGCGAAGAGTCAGTCTGGCTGAAAACAGCTGGCGCGGTCACCGCCCAGAGATGCCCTCAGGATGACTTTCACACGCTGCAGAGTGCTTGGCCTCGGCACAAATGGCCTCTGAGCCATGGCCACTTAAAATGTGTGTGTCCGCTCCTCGTGCACATGAGGATAAAATAATTTCTCTTACGTATTTATTCCTTAGATAGTGGACTGCTGGTAGATACCTTCCTATGGCCTTTGCAGGGCTGTCAACACAGCTCACTGTAGACTCTTCCATTAAGAAGCAGAAAAATAAGAATGGAGATTTTACATCTTCTGTCCTCCTGTGACAACAGGAGAAAGCCTGGAGAGAAGATAATTTTTGCAGACCCTTTTCTAGCTCTCTTGTACAGGCAGTGGCGTATCTGAAGAAGAATCAGCTAGACTCTTAATTGGATTAGGTTCTTTCTTTAACCTAAGAAAGATTAGTAGATTAGTTTTGGCTGCATCACAAACAACATAAAATGAACCCCAGTGTCATAACCCGGGCAAGCGTGTACTTTTCACGCAGGAGTCTATGGATCCTCTAAGCAGGCTCTTAAAGATGTGGTCGGGCCCCGCTGCTTGCGTCCCAGGCTACGGGGCAGTGGCCAGGCTGGGCACGTCCTTCTGGAGGCAGAGGGGCACGGGCACACCTGCAGCTCACTGCCACCCTGCACCAGGCTCTGGCCTCAACACGCCTGACTTCCACGGGCCAGGTAACATACTCTTTCCATGGACGTGGGGACAGAACAGTAGCAGGTCACTATCTTCTCGCCCTTCCTGTTCCTACATCTTATGACCCTGGAATTCATAGTGGTGGAAGCTATAGCCACAGAAAGGGTCAACACACAGCTACCAAAGGCTCGGGATGTCTAAATCCAAGCACGGGTTCTGCACGTATGCCGAAGGCTCAGGCTTCACAAAGCCAGAAATAGGTTTTACATTCCTGTCCCGAAGGATCTGTTTCCATATATCTTTGTCATTTACAAAAACCTAACTGATTGACGTTTGGAAATGGATGCACATTTTCTCCTGCTGCCCTACACAGTGTCGGGGGGAAGAGGGTTCATCTGGCTCTTGCAATGTCCATTTTCGCCCTGGGTTTGATTCTGTATTTCTTCCTTTCCTTTACCCTCACTCAGCCTACCAATTCCTAAACATCAGCAGTTTCCAAAGTACTTGGAAAGGCAACAAGAACAGCCTGGAGATCTGTAAAAGCAGCAGCTCGGGGAAGCAGGGCCTTAACTGGGGCACCGCGTCAGGGCCTGGACGGGGAGCCTGAGCCCCCCAGATCGGCCCCACATTCCTTCTCTCCCACACCCTGTGCCTTGTCAGCGTAGAGAAAAGAGGTTTTGAAAGAACCTTCAAGGCCCTGTTAGGAAAAGCTTGGAGAAGAGAGACCCCGGGGGGCGGTCCCGTGGGAGGGCCCAAATACCCGTGAAATGTCACATTCTGTTCATGCCCCCGAATGACCCAGCATCTGCTAACCCATGAAATTATTAGGCACGACAACGGCTTGTTCAGTTTTTCGTATTACGTTCTGCCACACCAAGCAGGAGATTTTAACATTCCTCTGGAGCCCTTGCCTGAATCGGTTCTCAAGCTAAACGCTGGTTCCACTAAGGTTTGTTAAGCACCAAGAAAGGATCTTACTTTAAAACTCAGTCTGGTGGCTTTCTTTAAAATAGACTATTTATTATTAATACTTTGCTGTCCTCCCAGTCTTGATTCTATTTTCCATACGATTTAGGAGGACCAGCTGCCCTGGCTTCCCCAGGACTGAGGGGTTTCCTGGCATGCAAGATTTTCATGCTGAAACCGGATGGTCCCAGGCCAGTCGGGAGAGTTGGTCACCCTAATACCAGATGGCCCTATCCAACGTTTCTGCTACAGCAGCCACCAAGTCAGAGAAGAAAATACTCCCTGGCTAAAACTCTGGGAGTTTATTGAAGTCAGCTCCTACACCACCGAACTCCCGCCTCCCCACCCCCGTTCATCTTGCAAAAATCAATCTAATATCTCCCTTGCTAATCGCGACTCCCAAAGTCAATATAATAGTTAACTTTAGGCTCCAGGAATGCCAGGAGAGATCCTAGTCTGAAGTCAAAGCTATAATCCAGAATTTAAGTTAACATCTCTCAGGGAGGAAATCACCCATGGAAAAATACCATGGAAAAATCCATGACTTTTACCACACGGATACATTCATTATAGCAAGACCATAATTACAGCATTGCCCGTCAGGGTTTCCATTGTAAATGGGTCTAACTCTCGGTGGAACACAATTCTTTCCAGCTGGAGTAAACCGTGGACAGGTTTTCAGCCCATTGGGGATTTTTTCTGATTTGTTTACAAACTGGCAAAGCTGGGGGTGGGGGGAGGGAAGGGAAGAGGGGAAGATGAGATTGGGAACAAAATAAACAGTATGAATTTCTGTTCTCGGTGTGTCCTTTAAGCTGAAACTAAGAGAACACAAACAAAAAAACAAACAACCAAGGCCCACTAAAGGATATCATTCAGGCCCTAAAATTTGGGATTGAAAGGTGACACTCGGTCTTTAACTTACTTTAAAAGAGGGAGCATTAGATAAAAGAAAAGAGATTTACTTTTTTCTTCTTCTTCTACCTGAAGTTTGGCCAAACACTGCAGTAAGGAGCTTTGGGCCACGGTGCATTTGAGGGAAGAACAGAGTGGGCCATGACACCTGGGTTCTCTTCCCAGCTCTTTTTCTAGCTCATTCTGTGCCCACAGATAACTGACTTAATCTTCCTGAGCCTTCCTTTTC